AACAGAAATTTGGCTTACAAATTCTAATTTTAAATAGTTATTATAGAAAAAAGTATATATCACATTTCATGACACACCTTCCTACATTGTTGTGTTTACTCCCTACTTCCCATCTTCTATTTTCTATGCTAAACATTCATTGCCTCAACTGATACTCACCATCCTGACTGCCTCTTTCTGGCTGTGTACTAGATTGTTTATTATGTCCTTCTTAAGATGGTTCACCTAAAACTTTGAAGATTGTTCAAGATAGAGTCTAGTCATGACAGATTGCATTTGAACTTTTTATTACTTTCTTCATCCTATACACTGTGCATCTCAATGCAATCTAGAAATTAGCAGCTCGTGTTGAACTTACAGTCCACCAAAGCCCCAGATTTTTTTCATAAGAACTTCTACTTAACCATGCAATAGGAGGACCTGACTCAGGGTCCCTTCTGATCTGTCCTGGATTTTATAGTACAGTATTACTAGCACTCTCCTAAGCTGGCAACTGATGGCTTATTAACTCTGTTTCAGAATCTGCATCCATAACTTCCTCTGGAAGAAGTTTCCTTCTGCACACATCCAAGGCTTTGATCTATGTGTCTCCTCTCTCATGCCCCGATCTCCTATTCCCACTGACAATGGTATTTTCCCTGGTCCTCCAGCACCTACTGAGCTAATCGTTCTGCATGAATGGGGATCTACTTGGTATTCTAGAGAGGTTGCTCCATACATCACCAAAAGAACTGCTTTAGCTTAGTGCCATGGTGCTGTATCTGGCCATTCAGTTACCTCAATGGGGCAGGTAAATGGGGCAATGGATAGAGTGCTGGGCTTGGAGTCAGGAAGACTTGAATTCAAATCCAGCCTCAGATACTTACTAGCTTTGTGACCCTGGGAAAGTAATTTAAACTCTGTTTTCCTCCATTCCCTCAACTATAAAATGGGAATAATGACAGTACCTATCTCTCAGAGTTGTTGTGGGGATGAGATAAGATAATATTTGGCAAGTACTTAACACATAGTAGGTGCTATATAAATGCTTATTCCATTCCATTTTCTCTTCTTCATCCTTCATGTTTTTATTGACTTTCTGCCACTTCAGCCATGTGAGCCATCTTGCCATTTCATCCCATTTACTGACTATACCAATTTTGGTGGGCAGGCCAGGGGGTGATTCAAATCTCCTTTTTGGTTCAACATTGGAATGGAATGAAGTTCTCATAGATTATTCCAAAAGGACCCTAGACTAGTTTGGGTAATGACACACACCTCACCTCCTTGCCTACATATAAAAATGTAATTGGTCAGCAGTGAAGGGTCTGGTGATATGTATGACCTTGGACCATCTCTATGGTGCATATAGATGGGCCTTTTTTTGCCCTTAGCTGACCAGGAAGCCACATTAATGATGCTAGAGCCTAGGCCAGTCAAGTCTTTTAGATGTAGCCTAAGGGAACCCTGGTAGGTGGTAATCCTATCACACCATGTCTTCCTAATTCTCTATTTTTGGAGTTGATTTTTATAAGACTTTACATTTTTCTTTATTGAATTAAATCTTTTTACATTCAATTCATTGTCTTAGCTATATCTCATATTTTCTTTGATTCTGATTTTGTTATCGATTGTGTTAGCTTCCCCATCCAGCTTCCTGTCATATACAGAGTTTACAAGCATGCCTTCTGTGACTTCATCCAAGTCATCAGTTAACAACATTGAACATCACATGACTCATGGCAGATCTCTGGTACAATATGCTAAAGACCTCCCTCCAAGCTAACTACTTTTTTTAATCCATTCTTTCAACCAGTACCTGAAATCTAACAGGTTGATTCAGAATCTACTTATGACATATTTATTAAATATATTTTTACTGATTTTAGTTAAATATTTCCCAATTACTTTTTAAAAATTTTAACGTTCACTTTTTAAAATTTTGATTTCATAATTCTCTCCCTCCCTCCCACACCTTCCCCACCCCTTGAGAAGGAAGTAATATGATATAAATTTTACATGTGAAGTCATGGAAAACATATTTCCGTATTAGCCATGTTACAAAAAAAAAAAGAAAAGAAAGAAAAGAAAAGAAAAAAGAAAGGAAGGAAGGAAGAGAAAGTGAAAAAAATTATACTTCAGTTTGTACTCGGAGTTCATCAGTTCTCTCTCTCTGGAGGTGGATAGTATTTTTCATCATGGATCTTTTGGAATTGTCTTGGATCATTATCTTGATTAGAGTAACTAAGTTTTTCACAGTTGATCATCATTACAATATTGCCATTACTGTGTACTGTGTACATCTCCTGGTTCTGTCCACTTCATTTTGCATCAGTTCATATAAGATTTCCCAGGTTTTCCTGAAACCATCCTGTTTCTTATAGCACAATAATATTCTGTCACAATTGTATACCACAACTTGTTCCCAGTTAATGGGTATCCATTAACTTCAGATTCTTTGCTATAACAAAAAATTGCTATATTTTTGTACTAATATCTTTTTGATTTTTTTTTTTGTCTTTTCTTTGATCTCTTTGATATATAGCCCTTGTAGTGGTATTGTTGGGCCAAAGGATATATACAGTTTTATAGCCCTTTGGGCATAGTTACAGATTGTTTTCCAGAATGGTTGGATCATTTCTTGACTCTATCAATACTGCATTAGTATCTCAATTTTTCTAAATCCCTTCTAGCATTTATCATTTTCTTTTTCTGTCATGTTAGCTGATCTGATAGGTGTGAGGTGGCATTTCTTTAATCATTAGCAATTTAGAGCATTTTTCATATGATTATTGATAGCATTGATTTCTTCTTATGAAAATTACCTTTTTGGTCAATCCTTTGACTATTTACCAATTGGGGGGTAGGTCATATGTTTATAAATTTGGCTTAGTTCTCTATATATTTGAGAGATGAGGCCTTTTCTAAAGAAACTTGCTGTAATTTTTCTCCTAGTTTCCTGCTTTTCTTCTAATTTTGGCTGCATTAGTTTTGTTTGTGCAAAACCTTTTTAATTTCATGTCTGCTGACCTCCCAGAGACTCTCTACTCTCTGGGTTTTTGTGACATTGCTCTCTCTTGGTTTTTCTTTCAACTCTATTTTACTGGTCCACTTGCCATGTGAGAAATCAAGAAACCTTTTTTTTGGGGGGAGGGGAAGGCATGAGTTATATTATAATGAGATTTTCATGATGGTTCCTGACCTTGTTATCCATATTATGTTTTGTAATTAGATTAGATTGTGATTAATTAATTTGTAATTAATCATTAGATTGTAAGCTCCTTGAGGGCAAGGACTATCCTTTGCCTTTATTTGTATCTCCAGCCCTTAGTATATCTTTATTAACTCATTGACACTGTTGTCTAAAAGTGAGTACAGGAGAAGTAGATTGTCTGAAAGTCAGAAAGAAACTGATCCTAAGAGATAAAGTGTCAAAACATATTAGCCATGGGGGGCAGAGAGGGTGCAGCAAAAGAAACTGAGGAGTTAGTGAGTAGTCAGACAGGTAAGAGAAAACCCAAGAGAGAGCAATGTCACAAAAACCTCTGGGAGGTTGGGAGTATCAGGTGTTGCAGAAAGGTTAAGCAGGAGAAAGACTGAGAAGAGGCTGTTTGTTAGATTTGGCAATTAAAAAATCATTGGTTACAACTAAAAGTAGAAGAGAAGCAAATAAGTGGGGGAAAGTCTTTGCAGCCTTATAGTATTAGTTTTTCTTCAATGATACAAGTATGTTAGAGAGACCTAACATGTTAGATGATAGGCCTTGACAGACTAAAACAATGAACCAAATCTAGTAAGATGAAATTTAATGGAGCTAAGTGTAAAATCCCAACACTTTGCATTCAAAAAAGTTGACTTCACAAATACAAGCTGGGAAAGCCATAGCTAAATAACAATTTGTTTGAAAAAGATTAGGGGTTTTACAAACTCAAAATAAATTGACACTGTGGTATATGGCAGTAAAAAAAAAGAAACAAACTAATTTGAGCTTAGTCTAAATTCAAAAAAGCATAATGAATTAATGAGGTGATAAAATCTAGTTCTACTCTATTCTGGTCAGACTACTTCCAAGATAAATTATGTGCCCAGGCTGTAGAACCCACAGGCTTATGCCATCATGGAAAACCTGAATTTCATGATTCCGAAGGGAGAACTACTTCTTCAAGCAGAGAATGTCGTGGTGCTTCAGTCAAAGTTATAAGTGGTTGAGCACATCTAGCAACAACACTTAATGCATGAGATAGAATAACTAAAAGATGTCTCTTTAGTTGAATTAGAAATGTGGAATTATATGTAACTCAGCATTGCTATGGCCCAACATAGGATTAAAAGAGTCCAAGGAAAGTTAACAACTGCTGAGAAAGTCCCATCCTTATAATCCTATGTTTGTCTATAGTAGTGTTCAGTTAATATGAGATTGGCCATATGAGTGTTGAGTTACAATTCCACTTTTCTAATTCAACTAAAGAGATGTCTTTTAGTTATTCTGTCTCATGCATTAAGCTTCAGTGTCTCTACATATTACAATAGAAAGAATACAAGGAATGTTAACAACTTCTGAGAAAATCCCATCCTTTTAATCATATGTTGAGCCATAGCAATTTTGAGTTACATATAATTCCACTTTTCTAATTCAGCTAAAGAGATATCTTTTAGTTATTCTGTCTCATGAATTAAGCTTTGGCTTGTCACAGAAAGCACATTATTTGCTCTCTGGTATAAATTGATCCTGTCTTTCCTTGAACCTCCTTATTAATTCAATTTAACAAGCATAAGTTCCTACTATGTGCTGATCATTATTAGACAAAAACTGGAATACAAAACCAAAATAAAACAGCCCCTACCGTCAAGGAACTTACATTTTTTTTTATGAGGGGAAATAGCTTTACACATGTAAGGAAAGATGCAGTAATTTCCTGGGGAAGGGCAGAGGCTTAATTAATATGAAAGGTGATAACAGTAGAACAGGGATTCCTGAGGATAAAATAGAAAAATAGAGGTTTTTTTCTGCTTGGTTCTAGGTCTTCTCCCTCCTACAAGTGGAGAGGCATACCTCAGTGGGTATGAGATCTCACGGGACATAGTACAGATCCGGAAAAGCCTGGGCTTATGCCCACAATATGACATCTTGTTTGATTACATGACAGTTGCTGAACATCTTTACTTCTATGTTCAGGTGAGCCCCAAAGAATATTTTTTTGTCCTATGCCTTAATGTGGCCACCTAGCAGGCCAGTATTCTTACCCTCAAAGGATCCCAAAATAAGTTCTAAAAAGCATTTTGTGAACACAAAGGGAGGCAGGGGAAGGAAAGACATCCTTACATCAGTATCCCTGAATAAGGAAGCAGCTAGAGTTGCCTGCAAAGTCTTTCTGAGGCATAAAAAAAAATTGTTGGATACGCTAAGCTTCCTTTCACAAAGTCTCTATTCTCTGTCTTAATTTTGTTCTCTTAGTTGAAAGGAGTAAGTGATAAAGATTGGTCTGATGAAATCAATTATATCTTAAATATTCTTAACCTGGAAAATAAGCGCAACACAATTTCCAAGTCCCTGAGTGGAGGAATGAAGCGCAAAGTCTCCATTGGCATCGCCCTCATAGGAGGATCTAAGGTATAGATTTCCCCATTTCTTTGGGTAGAATCAGGTCCCCACTACAGCCTAAAAAGATAAATCCGCTTATAAAGACCTAGGTAAGTTGGTATGGACCTTGCTCTCTAAATGGGATGGTATACTCAGTATCAAGCAAATGCTTAGGTAGTCTGATTGGTATAGTGTGGCCATAGGATTGAAGGCATTAAAAAACTGACTCTTCCTTAGCCTGGGTTTGCTCACTGTCCCTAGACAAATGATTCAATCCCATTATACCTCACCTCAGCTGGAACAGTGAATACCAAGTAGATATAATATGGCAGAATAATTTCTCCATTATAATAGAATTCAGAGTAAACTCATCATACTCCCTGCAGTGAACTAGCATATCATTGGGGGAATAGAGGCAGGTTCAGGCTTCCTACCAGGTAAATAGTGAAATTTCATTGGAAGACTATCTCATTAATCTTCAGTCTGTCCTTTTGGGATCTGTAGGTGGTGATGTTGGATGAGCCAACATCAGGTATGGATCCAGTCTCACGGCGAGCCACATGGGACCTCCTTCAGAATCAGAAAAGTAACCGCACTATTCTATTGACTACCCACTTTATGGATGAAGCTGATCTTCTGGGAGACCGCATTGCCATCATGGCAAAGGGTGAACTGCAGTGCTGTGGCTCTTCGCTTTTCCTCAAACAAAAATATGGTAAAGGGGGGCAAGAGACAGAAATCTAGCAGGTCTATTATTTGTCTTTATTGTGGGGTCTGCTTTGAATCCCCTACATATATAATGAAGAAGACTCTTTGTAATAGTTCCCCTACACTCTGGGGAGGCAGTGTATATAGCACAGTACAAAGAGGGCTGGATTGGTGGTTAAAGGACTTTGGTTTAGAGTCTGATGCTGTCACTGCCTTATCTGGGAGGCTATATATTCTCTCAATAATCTGTATGATCCATACTAACCCTAAGTCAGTGATCGATGAGGTAGCAAAGTGGTTCAGTGGATAGAGCACTGGATTTGGAGCCAGGAAAATTTGAGTTCAGATCCTGTCTCAGTCATTTACTATCTGTGTGTCCTTGGGTAAGTAAGTCGCAACTTTTCTCAGTCTCAGTGTAAGAAGAGGAGTTATCTATAATGAAACAGAAAAGATAGGTTGGGGCCAGGTTGTAAAAGGGTTTAAAAGTTACACAGGAGCTTCTATACAAGATGATTTAATGAATGAAAGCAAGCAGCCCAGATCTCTATCCCTACTTCAACAAAATAAAAAATAGCACTAAACTGAATAATGATCAAGGAATCCAGTGGGAAATTGCAGTGATTTTATCCACATGGATTTTTATCAATGGGCTTCTGATTGCATAAAAGTCATGCAGAAGCTCATGGGCAGTAGGAAATAGAGCCCATGATAAAAGCCAGTGCCATCTCAAGCAAACAAGATGGAAGCCACCCAGAACGAGAGGAGTCAGACAGGCAGGCGTCTCCAGGGCTCTGTATGTGGAGGAAGTCAGAGCCGAGGACTCCCAAGAATCGTCATCATCATGATCATCAGGATAATAATGCTTCTATAAAGCATTTTACATATGTTGCTTTATTTGATCCTCCTAACAACCCTGTGAGGAATGTGCTATTATTATTCCCATTTTATGGGTCAAGAAGTTAAGCCTAAGAGAGGTTAAGTGACTTTCCCAGGATCACGCGAACATCTGAGGCAAGATTTGAACTCAGGTTTTCTTGGCTCCAAGTCCAGCACTCTATCCACTGTGGAATCTAGCTGTTACAATATGGACCTTGGAAGCAACACGTCTGATCACAGTAATGTTCAGACCAGGGCACTCTGGGCCTGCGGGGCTCAAATGTCCCTAGCACTCTGTTCTGAGATGCCCTAGTGGGTCCTAAAGGTTCAGCACTCTGAATATCAAAGATACAGAGGAGCTTAAAACCTAGCAGTGCTTTTATAATAGACACACCCCACGAGATGGGCCCTAGCAATCCAAAACCACCCACCCCAGTAGTGTAGTGAGGGGCAGAGCTTATCCTTAAGAGTTGGCTAAACAGATAGCAATGACCACTATAAAGAATTATCAATCCAGAGAAACCCCCAAAATCTAGCTTAGCAGGAAAGAATAACTCTGTAACAAGTGCAAGGAAAGACTTAAGACAAAAATAAGTGGGTTTTCCACAAGGACTATATGAATACCTAGAAGAAATTAAGCAAAAGATTTTAAATTAAATAAAAGCTTTGGAGGAAAGAATTGTAAGAAAAATATATAGCTTAGATCAGAGAATGGCAAATGTTGCCTAAGTAATGCACTCCCATACAATTACAAAACACTTTTTACACAGATAAAGTCACATCTAAACAACTGGAAAAATATCAATTGCTCATGGATAGGTCAAGCCAATATAATAAAAATGACAATTCTACTTAATTAATTTACTTATTCAATGTCATACCAATCAGACTACCAGAAAAATTATTTTATAGAGCTAGAAAAAATAATAATGAAATTCATCTGGAAAAACAAAAAGTTTGTCAAGGGAATTAATGACAAAAATTTCAAAGGGAAGTATACTGTATCTCAGACTATATTAGAAAGTAGTAACCATCAAAACTATCTGGACTAAGAAATAGAGTAGTGGATCAGTAGAATAAATTAGGTATACAAGACAGTAGTAAACCATAGTAATCTCCTGTTTGATAAACCCAAAGACCCCAGCTTCTGGGATAAGAGCTGATTATTTGACAAAAACTGCTGGGAAAATCAGAAAACAGTATGGCAGAAACTAGGTATAAAGCAACATGTTATTCTGTATACCAAGATAAGGTCAAAATGAGTACATGATTTAGACATAAAAGGTGATTTCATAAGCAGATGAGGAGAGCAAGGAATAATTTACTTGTCAGATCTGTGGAGGAGGGAAGAATTTAGGACCAAAGAAGATAAAGAGAGCATTACAAAATGTAAAATAGATAATTTTAATTGTATAAAATTAAAAAGTTTTTGCACAAACAAAACCAATGCAACTAAATTACAAAGAAAGCAGAAAACTGGTAAGCAATTTTTACAGCAAATGTCTCTGATAAAGGCCTCATTTCTCAAATATATAGAGAACTGAGTTCAATTTATAAGAATACAAGTCATTCCCCAATTGATAAATGATCAAAGGATATGAACAGGCAATTTTCAGATGAAGAAAGCAAAGCTATCAATAGCCATATGAAAAATGCTCTAAGTCTCTATTGATTAGAGAAATGCAAAGTAAAACAACTCTGAGACATACCACTTAACACCTATCAGATTAGTTAATATGACCAAAAAGTAAAATGATAAATTTTGGAGGGGATGTAGGAAAATTGGGAAACTAATGCATTGTTGGTGGAGTTGTGAACTGATCTTACCACTCTGGAGAGCAGTTTGGAAAAAAGGGCTATAAAACTGGGAATACCTTTGGACCCAGCAGTACCATTAAGAGATTTTTTTGGGGGGGTAGGCAATAGGGGAGATTTTTTTAAAAAGGAAAAAATATAAAAATATTTACAAATACAAAAATATTTACAGCAACTCTTTTAGTGGTGGCAAAGATTTAGAAATTGAGGGGATGCCCATTAATTGGGGAGTGACTGAACAAGTTGTGGTATGTGATTGTAATGGAATACTACTGCATTGTAAGAAATGATAAGCAGGAAGATGGTTGCAGAAAAACTTAGGAAGATTTGCGTGAACTGATGCAAAGTGAAATGAGCAGAACCAGAACACACAGTAACAGCAACATTGTATGATCGACTATGAATGACTTAGCTATTCCCAGCAATTAAATGATCCAAGAAAAATCCTAAGGTCTCATGAGGAAAAATACTATCCACATCCAGAGGAAGAACTGATGGAGTCTGAATGCAGATCAAATCATACTATTTTCATTTTCTTTTTTTTTTCTTTTGGTATGTTTCTCCTTTCACAACATAACTAATAAGGAAATATGTTTTATGCGATTACACATATATAACCTATATCAAATTGCTTACCATCTTGGAAAGGGGAGTGGTAAAGGAGGGAGGGAGAAAATTTGGAACTCAGAATTTTTAAATATATGTTAAAATGTATCTTTACATGTAATTAGAAAAAATAAAATATGAAAAGTAATGCATTCCCTGGAAGTTAGAATAGACCAAACAGATATCAGTGTGTCCATGAGACATGTAATATAAGAACAAAATAAAAAGATTTTTTTTTAAAAATAGAGGGCTATTATACCAAATAGATGAATTTATACCAAAATATAGCCAAGCTCTGCCTCCCTTAACTCCTCCAATTTTATCTAAAAAATGCGCCAGACTGAACCCTGATGGAGAAATTTTTTAAAGCTGCAATGAGTTGTTTTACCAGCATGGATAGCATAGAGAGACAGAGAGGTCTGTGGATACCAGCCGGTGTGAGCGCACAGGGCACTACAGCATCCAAGGTGAGGCTGTGCCCGGAGAGGACAAGAGGAGGTTCCAAATCCCTCCTAGGGCTCTCTAACAGGAATAAGAGGCAATTGACAGCTTTGTCACCGAATACCCAGTACCAGGTCACAGATCCAGAGTAGACTGAGAAGGGGACCTGCACCCAGGGATAGTATTGCAGGTTAAGGAGTGGTAACAGGCCCTGGATAGTGAGTTGAGAGGGAACCAAGTTCAGAAGCAAATAGCCACACTAGCTCAGATCTCAGGAGCAGAACAGGATCTCAGTTCTAACTCCTATCCTGGTCTGGAGTCTGCAGAAGAATAGTCAGGGCAACAATGCCAGACCAAAGGGAAGCCTGCAGTTCTGTCACTGACCCAGCAGAGCATCACAGCTAACTGATGGTTAAGCAGTATGTTATTGTCCAGTCCCAAACCCAAAGCGAGACCAGGAAGACAATGATCAGACTTTGCCCTGGAACAAACCCCTTTGGGAGCGCTGAAAGCTTGCTGGTCCCAAGAGACCCTGGAATGACACACAACTTGATAGTCCCAAGAAGACAACAACAGGGGACCAGCCCAGACTTTCCCTGAAGTGTGCAGAGCCCAGCCCTAACATAAAGGCCATAGGCAGGAAGTAGTCTGGAAGAGTGAGGAGGACAAAAAAGAATCTCAGCAGAAAAAAGGTATTGTGGTGAGGAGAATGCTGAAGAGACAAACCCAGAAGAGAATGACTCCAAAACATCTATGAGCAAAGCCTCAGAGAAAAGCATAGCTTGGGCATAAATTCAACTAGAATTTCTGCAGTAGGTAAAGCAAGAGGGTTTTTTTAAGAGTTTAAGTTTTTTATAAATGAAATCAGAGTGCTTGAAGAAAAAGTAGAAAAGAAATGAGAGCTATGGAAAAAATAATTAGAAAGGGAATTAGCTGCATGGTATATGTGCAAAATCTTGCCCAAGTGACAAATTCCCTGAGAATTAGTATAACACTGATTGCCATGGCCCCACTGTGTGTGCTACATTTCACTCTTCCTCCAGGCTTTTCCAGGCCCTAAAAGGGATTGGAGGTATCTGGGCTGTCTGCCACCGGCTCCAGACTCAACCAGTGGTATTCCTCCCATTATAGGGGTGATGGGCTCCCCATGCCCCCAGTTCTGTTAGCCACTGACATTATTAGCTTTTACACAGAAAGATTTACTTGTAAAATATAATCACAAATATACAAACTTACTCCCCAGCATATGGAAGGTATAATCCCCCTCCT